TGTGGTTCTGAGTTAGTTTCTTAATCCTGAGATCTAATTTGATTGCCCTGTGGTCTTACAGACTATTTGTTATGATTCCCATTCTTTTGTATTTGCTGAGGAGTGATTTATTTCCAATTATGTGATCAGTTTTAGAGTAAGTTGATGTGGTGCTGAGAAGAATGTATATTCTGTGGATTTGGGGTTGAGAGGTCTGTAGATGTCTATTAGGTCCCTTTGGTCCAGATCTGAGTTCAAGTTCTGGATATCCTTGTTTATCTTCTGTCTCGTTTATCTGTCTGATATTGACAGTGGAGTGTTAAAGTCTCCCACTATTATTGTGTGGGAATCTAAGTCTCTTTGTAGGTCGTTAAGAACTTTATGTATCTGGGTGCTTCTGTATGTATATATTTGGGATCCTTAGCTCTTCTTGTTGCATTGATCCTTTTACCATTATGTAATGCCCTTCTTTGTCTCTTTTGATCTTTGTTGGTTTAAAGTCCGTTTTGTCAGAGACTAGGATTGCAACTCCTGCTCTTTTTTGCTCTCTGTGTGCTTGGTAAATCTTCTTCCATCCCTTTATTTTGAACCTATGTGTATCCTTGCATGTGAGATGGGTTTCCTAAATACAGCACACCAATGGGTTTTGACTTTTTATCCAATTTGCCAGTCCATGCCTTTTGATTGGGGCATTTAGCCCATTTACATTTAGGGTTAATATTGTTATATGTGAATTTGCTCCTGCCATTTTGATGCTAGCTGGATGTTTTGCCCATTAGTTCATGCGTTTTCTTCAATGTGTTGATGGTCTTTACTGTATGGTACATTTTTGGAGGGGCTGGTAATGGTTGTTCCTTTCCTTGTTTAGTGTTTCTTTTAGGAGCTCTTGTAAGGCAGGCCTGGTGGTGACAAAAATCTCTCGGCAATTGCTTGTCCGTAAAGGATTTTATTTCTCCTTTGCTTTGAAGCTTAGTTTGGCTGGATATAAAATTTTAAGTTGAAAGTTCTTTTCTTTAAGGATGTTGAATATTGACCCCAACTCTCTTCTGGCCTGTAGAGTTTCTGCTGAGAGATCTGCTGTGATTCAGATGGGCTTCTGTTTGTGGGTACCCTGACCTTTCTCTCTGGCTGCCCTTAGCATTTGTTTCTTCATGTCAACCCTGGTGAATCTGATGATTATGTGCCTTTGGGTAGCTCTTCTTGAGGGATATCTTTGTGATATTCTCTGTATTTCCTGGACTGGAATGTTGGCCTGCCTTGCTAGGTTGGGAAAGTTCTCCTGGGTAATATCCTGAAGAGTGTTTTCCAGCTTGGATTCTTTCTCTCGGTTATATTTATTCTCTCAGTCATTTCATAGGTACACCTATCAAACGTAGATTAGGTCTTTTAACATAATTCCGTATTTCTTGGAGGCTTTGTTCATTTCTATTCACTTTTTTCTCTCTAATCCTGCCTTCTTGTTTTATTTCATTGAGTTGATCTTCAATCTCTGATATTCTTTCTTCTGTTTGGTCAGTCGGCTATTGAAACTTGTGTATGCTTCTCGAAGTTCTCGTGTTGTGTTTTTCAGCTCCATCAAGTCACTTATATTCTTCTCTAAGCTGTTTATTCTAGTTAGCTTTTCATCTAACCTTTTTTCAAGGTTCTTAGTTTCTTTGCATTGGGTTAGCACGTGTTCTTTTAGCTCAGAGAAGTTTGTTATTACCCACCTTCTGAGGCCTATTTCTGTCAGTTCATCAGCCTCATTCTCCATCCAGCTTTGTTCCCTTGCTGGTAAGGAATTGTGATCCCTTGGAGAAGGAGAGGCACTCTGGATTTTGGTGTTTTTATCCTTTTTGCACTGATTTCTTTCCATCTTAGTGGCTTTCCCTACCTGTTGTCTTTTTAATTGGTGAATTTTGGATGGGGTCTCTGAGTGAACATCCTTCTTGTTGATGTTGCATCTATTTCTCTCTGTTTCTTAGTTTTCCTTCTAACAATCTGGCCCCTCAGCTGCAGGACTGCTGGAGGTCCACTCCAGACCCCGCTTTCCTGGGGATCACCAGTGGGAGCTGCAGAACAGAAAGGTTTGCTGCCGGTTTCTTCTTCTGTTATCTTCATCCCAGAGGGGTACCCTCTGGATGTCAGCCTGAGCTCTCCTTTAGAGGTGTCTCTTTGGATATACAGGGGTCAGTGAGCTGCTTCAGGAGACAGTCTGTTTCTTACAGGAGCTCAACTGCTGTTTTGGGAGCTCCGCTGTTCCATGCAGAGCTGCTGGGCAGGTATTTTTAAGTCTGCTGCAGCGGAACTCATACCCACTTTTTTTCCAGGTGTTCTCTCCTGGGAAGGTGGGGCTTTATTTATAAGTTCCTTACATGCTGCTGCCTTTTTTCATAGATGCCCTGCCCAGCACTGAGATAGTCTAGTCACAGCCTGCCAGCAGAGGCATTGCTGAGTTGCTGTGGGCTCTGCCCAGCTGGTGTGTGAACCTCCTCGTCGTGTTGTTTACAGAGGTACAGTTAGAACTGCCTCTGTAGTGGCGGACACCTGTTCCCCCACCGAGCTGGACCGTCCTGAATCCAGCTGTGCTTGCTGCAAAATTTGAGCGTCTCAGATTTCTGGTCTTTGAGGGGTGGGACCCGCCCAGCTAGAACACCTGGCTCCCTGTCTCAGCCCCTTCCCTTTCAGTTGAATGGATGGCTCTGTCTCCCATGCATTCCCAGTGCCAGTTGAAATGACCACCTGATTTGTGTGAGTTTTTGTGTGCCAACCCATGGCACTGACTGAAACAGCTGTGCTGGAAACTTGTGGTGCTTTTCCACCCAAGAATCTCTTGGTCTGTGGGCAGCGAAAACTCGTTTGGAAATGTGGTGATCACTCACCTTCTGCATTGTTCTTGCTGGGAACTGCCCTCCAGAGGTGTTCCTATTTGGCCATCTTGAATCCTACTCCTGTAAGATGATTTTTATGTGAGTTTGATGAGGACAGGACCACATCCTACTTATTCACTGTATGTTCAGCATTTATTACAATGTCTGGCATGTAGTAGGTGCTCAGTAAGTATTATTTGAATGGATGTATGGCTATACACTTTACAAATTTTTGTTTGTTTTTTTGTTAATTTTGTACTACATATAGCATGACCACTTGGTGGCACTAAAATCCTTTTAAAACTTGAAGATATGTTCTTATTCCCAGGTACATTATAACTTTTCTTCTCACACACGCATACAAAATGATCTACAATATATCATGGACAGTATAAATCATTATTGACATCAAAAAAGAAAGTAATCACAAGAATTTTTTTCTACTTCCTAAAATCCTAAAGTAAAGGATAACGGATTTGAAATGTTTGATAATATTTTCTGCTGTAGTGTCACTGCTTAGTTTAGCATTGGGAATATATTTTTAAGGTGTCATGATTTTGAAAGAATGTGCTGATAAGTATAAATTTTAATTTCTCCTAAGTTTACTCCTCCCATTGCTATCCTCAAGATAATTTCACCTTAGGTAATTTTGGCCTAAGATAAGGGAACACTAAGTGTTAAAATGTTTTAGTCAACGACATTTAAAAGCTCTTTAATCATTAAAGTTTTCATCCAAATTTACTAAAGAACTGTGATTCAGATCAAAATACATATTCGTAGAAATCAGCAGCAATGTTGGATTCTGGATTTATCACTACTTTTTCCTAATTTATCAGTTTTACAACAGTTTTGAATACAAAATACTTAAAGAGAAGAATTATAGAAGCATGGTGGTGTTATTATGCTTATTGAGAATTAGGAGTATGAGACTATTCTGTAATGGAGAGTGCAGTCTTATCAAGGAATTTCTCAAATATACTTCAGTCAACAGTTCAGGAACTGGTAGTATTCATAAGACCTTAAAACCTTTACCAACATAAGAAATAGAGAAGTATAAGAATTAAAGAAGGAAAATAATTGTAAGTTTTTCTTCTGAAATCAGGGAGGATAAAAATAGATGATTTACTAAAATGTAAAATCATAAGCTAATTAGCATTATTGGAAAGACTAATTACAATATAGTAACATAATATAGTAGGACTAAGCTGCAATTTTAAAAATCTATAATTAACCTTGCTGGTGTTCACACTGATCATCTGAGGTTCTTCCCAGCTTCATGATCTCAATACTGTAGGTGCTTAGGCAGTGTGGAAGAAACTGGTGTTCATAAAGTGGCTTACAATCTTGTTGGAGAGACCACGTGCAGGTACTGAGACAGCCTAACATGATGGCTGTGTACACAAATTCTAGAACCAGATTGGCTGTGTGCTCTTGGCAAGTTACTTAACCTCTTTGTGCCTCAGCTTCTACAAATCTAAAATGAAAATGGTAATATTACTCCTTCTTCATAAGTTGTTGAGAGGGTTAAAAGAAATAATACGTGTGAAGTGCCTACAAAAGTAACTGGTGTATAGTAAATGGTATCTAAATTTCTCCTTTGGCTAGAATGTGAGGTTTAGATAATTTGTTAAACGAACAATTAACAGCTAGATGATAGCAATGTAAACACTGTACGTGACTGAGTAAAAAAATCTGTGGACGTTACATATCCTGTTTGAGAATTCAAATGAGAGTAGACACTAATGTGAATTGTTTTAGAATTTCTCTAAAATCACATAGATGAGTTGAAGCTTATGCTCGGTAATAAAATACGAATTGAATTTGAATAGGTAGAAATGAGTCTAGGAGGAAATGACTAGGAGAGAAGGACAAGCTCTGTTGGCTTAATCAGCTATGTTTTCAATCAGGATAGTTGGTCTTGTTACCCTAATGGATTGGTTTTTGGTAATATTATGAGTTCATTGAGTTCATTTGGTTTCCTAGAATCTTCAACCTCAGAATTGCAGTAAATTTCTATAAGCAGATTAGGATAGAAATTAAACATTTATTCTGCTGAGACTTTATAAAATATAATTTGAAAACTGCTCCTATTTTGGGGTCATCGTCACCAGTGAAAAACTATTTTTTTGTTTTTTTTAAACAAATTGCTATCTTCACTCTTATATTTTATAGGTAATTAATAATGCTTGTGCTACTCAAGCTATAGTGAGTGTGTTACTGAACTGTACCCACCAGGATGTTCATTTAGGAGAGACATTATCAGAGTTTAAAGAATTTTCACAAAGCTTTGATGCAGCTGTGAGTACAACCTTTTTCTTATTCTTAAAAAGTCACATTTGTGAAAGTTTGTATATTAATAGGCTACTTTAAAAACTTATTTTAGATGAAAGGCTTGGCACTGAGCAATTCAGATGTGATTCGACAAGTACACAACAGTTTTGCCAGGTAAAGAGACTTTATGTTAAATAAACTACTTCTTTCTTTTCTTCTTTGAGTCTCACTATTTTTTTCTTTACTATAGACAGCAAATGTTTGAATTTGATACGAAGACATCAGCAAAAGAAGAAGATGCTTTTCATTTTGTCAGTTATGTTCCTGTTAATGGAAGACTGTATGAATTAGATGGATTAAGAGAAGGACCGATTGATTTAGGTAATGTGATTCTTGTTCCTGGTATTTCACTTTTGATAGGGGAAAACCTGTTAGGTATTTAACCTCATTTTTGTCACAGTGCTGCTTAAATTTTCAAGGTACAAGTGACTATGAGGTAATAAAATACAGTGAAGGCCTTAAGCTCTTCAGTATGTTGTTATTAATATACAGGAAGGACATGTTGACTAGTTCAGTTGAAGCCTTTGAGTTTTGCCAAGTAAAATTATGTTTTAATCCACAGGTTATGTAATTTTATTTTATTTTCCATTTAACATTTAAAAACTACCCTTAGTGAACTTAAATAGTTTTTCTCGTTATTTTTAACCCATTCATAAGGGAGAGCAAACATTTCGTATCATCTGTATTAAAATATTTTCATTTGGAATTGTATAATTTTATTGTTTTGCAATCAAGAAAATATTTTTCTTCAAAGTTCTCTATTTAGGTAGTGCATTAATGTATTATCCTTTGTGCCAAAGCATAGATTTGTTCTGATCCCACCCCATCTCTAATGCTGAGGAAAAACAATAAACACTTACCAAGGTTGAGGTATAATCTGTAGCTTTGAAAGATTACTGAAATAATAGGTTCACAAAAGAATTTTAACTGCTTATTTTGACTTCATTAAATTTTTTCTTGTTTTTAAATTAGGTTTGAAGTCCAATACAACTTGTTTTAGTTGAATCTAATGTTATATGCTATTCATGAAAGTTTTAGATTTAAAAAAAATTAAATGAGTTCGTTTTGTTTGTACTTTTTGCCATGCTTCATGTGTAGGACCAATAGTTTATGTAATGCAGATTTCCATGTTGCCTCTATATTTAAAAATATTTATTTTTCTATGTCTATTATAAAAATTTATTTATGGACTTGAAACAACATAATTACACTAAAAACAGTTTTACTGCCCTAAATTTGTTAAAATATGTGAAAAAAAAATTTTGGACCAAACTTCTGCATATTAAAATTGATTGTTCCTATTTTTGTTTGTGTTAACTGTTTTAAATTTCTTTCTAGGTGCATGTAATCAAGATGATTGGATCAGTGCAGTAAGGCCTGTTATAGAGAAAAGGATACAAAAGTAAATGCTCAGCTGATCTCATTGGCATAATATTCTGTTTATTAAGTATTTTTAAAACTTGTATATTATTGTTATTTTAGCAGTATGCACGGAACATCTACACCATTTTTATTTTAACCATTCTAATAGATGTATAGTGATACTTAATTGTGGTTTTAATCTGCATTTCCCTGATGACTAATGATGTTGAAAGGCTTTTCGTGCCTTTTGCCCATTTTCTGATTGGATTGTTTTTTTTTCTCTTGAGCCTGAAGTTCTTTACGTATTCTAGGTACTAATCCTTCATCAAACACATTGCCTGCAAGTATTCGCTCCCATTCTGTAGCCCATCCCCTCGTACTCCCAAAATGTTTTTTCACAGAGCAAAAGGTCTTAATCCTGATGAAAAAATAGTTTATCAGTATTTCACACTATGAATTGTTTTTGTTGTCAAGTCTAAGAAATCTTTGCCTCATTGTAGATACCAAAAACTTTTTTCTGTGTTACTTTCTTCAAAGTTTATAGATTAATGTTTTATGTGTTAGTCTCTGATGTATTTTGAGTTAATTTTTGTATATGGTATGACATTTAGGTAAAGGGTCTTTTTTTTTTTTTTTTGCTTATGCCTATTCAGTTACTCAGGCATAGTGATTGAAAAGGCTGTCCTTCCTCCACTGAATTCCTCCTGTACCTTTGCAAAAATGAAGTATATTTGTATGGCTCTATTTATGGGTTCACTATTCTGCCCATTGTTCCATTTATCTGTTCCTCTGCCAGTACTGCATTATGCTGACTACTGTAACTATCAGTCTTGAAATCATGTAGACTGATGCCTTTCATTTTGTTCTTTTTTTCAAAATTGTTTCAGCAATTATAGTTCCTCAAAAGTGAGACTTTGGATCTTATTTAAGATTTCTGTGTGAGCTGGTTTTATGGATATGGCTCTGACAGGGTAACTCGTGGGTGCCACCTCATTACTGCCAGGTGGGAGTAGATGTCCAACTTTCCTACCAGGCCTTCGGTGACACCTTAGGTGGAATGGGGTTTCTTGTTATTGCTGGACAGAGACGGGAGTTTCAGCCCCCAGCAGGGTTTCTGTTGATACCACTCTGGCTGAGATGGGCAGGAGTGCCTTGCTATTGCTTTCCACTCATACTGAAGTGGAAGAGGCTACTTTGCCTACCAGTAATTGTCACTACTCGATGGTAGTGACAATTTTGGCCTCCCATTCCATGTCCTCTGATACCACAAATGAGTGTTGTCATTACCACATGGCAGGGATGAAAGTCTCCATTCCCTACCCAGCCTTTTGAAATACCAAACTAGGAGCCTTGTTAAAGGTTGGAAGTCAAGGCTCTTTATTCTGCTTTTACTGGTTTTGAGTAGGAGTGGGGTCACAGATTTTTTAGTCATGTTTGGCTATAGTAGAATGATTATTGTCTAAAAGTTTTCTGTCTTGTGAGGCTGCACCTTTTCTGTCTGGCTAGAGAGAGCAGACTTTTGTTGGAGCTTTTTTGTCTGTACCTGTCGGTATTTCCTGGTTGCTGGTTTCTTCAGCTCCAAGTCGGGGATATATGAGGCAGAAAAAAAAACCCAGGGAATTCCCTACTTTATCATTCTTGGTTCCTGAGTTCCCCAGCTTGTCTGCCTTTTTCTACCTTTCAGAATGTTCTTGCTCTCTCTTTTTAAAAAACAGATTATGTCCCGGGTTTTTAGTTGTACTTACTGGCAGAAGTAGGGACTCGGAAGTCCCACAGTTAGTGTTTTAAAAACATTTTTGCATAGTTGAGAGCACTGTGGTTATATTGGGACCGTATTCTTTTCAGTGAATAGAGCTGTGTATGAGAAACTCTTAGAGATAAAGTAATGCAAAATGGGCTTACATTTTCTATATATTTTCATCTTAGTGCTATTTATATAATGTTATAAATAATGTTTTTAATATCAGTCCTTACTATGAACAAGCTTATGTTATGAGATGCTTCATTGGTACTAGAGTAGTGAAAATCGAGCATCATTCAGAAATTTTACTATAGGATATAATTATATATTATATTAATAAAATATGTAAAATGTTTACATGTCATAAGATAAAATTTAAAATATATAAATAGAAAGTTGATGATGACTTGGAAAAAATTATATGATGAGGAGCATAGTTAATACGCATTAAGATGCCAGTCTAATAAATTTAACAAATGTGGAGTCTTCATTTGTTTTTTTCCTAGCTCGTAAGTAAATGAATTGTCATGTTTCTTATAAAGGTAGGGAAATTAATGAAAATATTTTTTATTTCAAATGTTTTAAGTGGTACTAACATTATTTTAGAACATTTAAAAAACATTTGTGATTGATGATATTTAGCTATTTTTTTTTTTCCTACAGTTGTCTTTCCTATATGAAAGCTTTTTGTTTGTTTGTTTGATTTTAGAGACAGGGTCTTGTTCTGTTGCCCAGGCTGGCGTACAGTGCACTATCGTAGCTCACTGCAGCCTCCAACTCCTAGGCTCAAAGGATCCTCTCCACTCCTCAGCCTCCCAGGTAGCTGGGACTACAGGTGCACACTTATGTGCCTGACCTGAAAGCTTTTTAAAAGTATCCATTTTTATTGTTAGCCAATTGATAGACTCTTGTTTATACTAGGAAATTAAGAGGGTAATCACAATAGGTTATCTTAACTGTAATAGTTTTATAATTCTTTATTAATTATAAACTTAAATAATTTTCTTCTAGGTACAGTGAAGGTGAAATTCGATTTAATTTAATGGCCATTGTGTCTGACAGAAAAATGATATATGAACAGAAGATAGCAGAGTTACAAAGACAACTTGCAGAGGTTTGTGGCCGTGTTTTTAAATGCCAAGTTCTAGCTTGGTTATTTTCTCAGGAAAAGTATTACTGTATATATATAATTCTTGGTTGTATATGTGTGTGTATATATATGATTACATACATATATACGTGTGTAATCAAGGGCTCTGAATGGTGATTAAGAAAATACACACTCCGGACTGAGGTTGCCTAGATGCGGTTCCTGGCTTTGCCACTTAGTGGATATAGGAATTTGAGTATATTTCCCTGTGACTCAGTTTGATCATGTAGCATAAAGATAATAAATAATCTTTACCTCATAAGATTATCAGGAGGAGTAAATGAGGTATGACACGTAAATCACTTAAAATAATGACTAACAAATGGTAAATGCTAAATAAGTGTTAGGAATGGACTATTTTAACTATTTCCTGTGATTTCATTAAATAATTAAGGAAGTTAATTCTCAGAGAGTTAATCAGGTACATTAGAGTCACATGTAGTCTTTACTAGCTATGATTATCTTTCTGTAGTAAATGTCATTGGAGAAGAGATTTAGTAGACAAAGTTTATTTTACAATCCTGTGATCACATTTTTTTAAGCATTTTTAAGAAAATTTATTTTATAGTGTAGTAGGAGATTATGGCAAAAGAGTATATTACAGTGTAGGTTGTTTTAGGTGAAAATTCATATGTATTAGAACATAGAGCCGGGCGTGGTGGCTCAAGCCTGTAATCCCAGCACTTTGGGAGGCCGAGGCGGGTGGATCACAAGGTCGAAAGATCGAGACCATCCTGGTCAACATGGTGAAACCCCGTCTCTACTAAAAATACAAAAAATTAGCCGGGTATGGTGGCGCGTGCCTGTAGTCCCAGCTACTCAGGAAGCTGAGGCAGGAGAATTGCCTGAACCCAGGAGGCGGAGGTTGCGGTGAGCCGAGATCGTGCCATTGCACTCCAGCCTGGGTAACAAGAGCGAAACTCCGTCTCAAAAAAAAAAGAAAAAAAAAGAACATAGAAATATGGAAGGAACTATTTGGGGGCTTTTATCCTTTAATGTTGCTGTTAGGCTGGCATGCTGTTATCAATATGAAGAGTAGAAATTTGAAAATAATTGTTCTGTGTTTATCATTTTAAAATATTCTGAACGTAAGCCTCAGTTATTAGGGTGTGCTATTTTTTTCCCTTCCCCTAAGGAGGAACCCATGGATACAGATCAGGGTAATAGTATGTTAAGTGCTATTCAGTCAGAAGTTGCCAAAAATCAGATGCTTATTGAAGAAGAAGTACAGAAATTAAAAAGATACAAGGTATGTTTTAAAAAATATGTTCCTTTAATGTTTTAATACAGAGCAGTATATTTTGAGATGAAGGTATACTGAATGTTTGTTGGCTTTCCCTCCTATCATTGACAAAATTTCAAAATATTATGTTGATTCTCCGATACCCTACAAAGATAAGTAGTGAGATGTCTTTCAGTTTTATTTTTGTAAAATATTATTAGGAACAATTTTAACCTGTTTTATTTTTCAGTTCACTGTTGTTATTCTTTTTTTTTTTTTTTTTTTTTTGGTGGAGTCTTGCTCTGTTGCCAAGGCTGGAGTGCAGTGGTGCAATCTTGGCTCACTGCAACCTCCACCTTCCAGGTTCAAGCAATTCTCCTGCCTCAGCCTCCCAAGTAGCTGGGATTACAGGCGTGTGCCGCTATGCCTGGCTAGGCTAATTTTTGTATTTTTAGTAGAGTTAGGGTTTTGCCATGTTGACCAAACTGTTCTTGAACTCCTGACCTAATGTGATCCATCCACCTTGGCCTCCCAAAGTGTTTGGATTACAGGCATGAACCACTGTGCCCAGCCTATTATTATTCTTATTGATGTTTAAATTATCCTATCTTTGGCCATTGGGAGCTACTTCAGGCTGTCTCCTAAGTGTTTTCGGCATAACCTCCTTAGTTTCTGATAGCCTTCTTTTCTTTTCTTCTTTTAGATGGAGTCTTGCTTTGTTGCTCAAGCTGGAGTGCATTGAGGCAATCTTGGCTCACTGCAACCTCTGCCTCCTGGGTTCAAGTAGTTCTCCTGCCTAAGCCTCTCAAGTAGCTGGGATTACAGGCCTGCGCCTCCACACCCAGCTAATTTTTATATTTTTAGTGGAGATGGGATTTTACCATGTTGGCTAGGCTGGTCTTGAACTACTGGCCTCAGATGATCCTCCCTGGGCCTCCCAAAGTGCTGGGATTACAGGTGTGAGCCATCACGCCCAGCCAGCTTTCTTGCTTTCTAGTATAAGATGTTTCAGACTTTTCTTTTTTGGGGGACAGAGTTTTGCTCTGTCGCTCAGGTTGGAGTGCAGGGTACCATCTTGGCTCACTGCAACCCCCCACCTCCTGGGTTAAAGCAATTCACCTGCTTCAGCCTCCCAAGTAACTGGGATTACAGGCACCTGCCTCCACACCTGGCTAATTTTTGTATTTTTAGTAGAGATGGGGTTTTGTCATGTTGTCAAGGCTGATTTCAAACTCCTGACCTCAAGTGATCTCTTTGCCTTGGCCTCCCAAAGGGCTGGGACTACTGTTATGAGCTACCATGCCTGGCTTAGACTTTTCTTGTACATTTCTTGCTTAAACTTGGAATCAGCCATTTTGTAAAAAAAATCCCTTGTTGAAAAGTGGTATTTAGACACCACTATCTGGGCACTCAGGGTGCTCAGTGCTGCTGATTAATCATTGTTTCTAGGCCTTTTTAGAGCTACAAATACATTTTTGTTTGTTTCATATTTTATTTTTGAAGAGAAAATACATCATATATTCATATTAATACTCAAATTTAGGATTCAAGGACTTTGTGCATAAGGAATTTAAGAATTTCCATTTCTTCTATTAAGCTGAAAATCTTGGATTCTTAACAGAATTGATGTAATTATTTGTTTTATGCCATATACATGTAGTATGTATATAATGTATGTATGTGTATATGTATATGTGTATATGTAAAACAGTCCAGAATAATAGTACCAATAGTATAAAAACAAGTGAAAAGTCTTTTCTTAAGTTTGTCTTATTCCTTAGGATAGATCCTATTTTGGATATATAATCAAATAACTGTATTTTAAATTCACTTAAAATTTTTTGCTGCTGATTTTGCTGTTACATTTTTTAGAGTTAAAAATTTGATTTAATTTTATTTAGTCATGTCAAGCATTTATGTAATTCAGAGTCAAATATGAAGGTGAGTTATTTTTAATAAATGTCTTCTCTTTCACTTGCAATCTGTCCAATAACCTTTTTTTTTCAGAAAAGCAAAGAGTTGGGGAAACTGGATTTTGTGTTACTTTGGATGTGGAAGATTTATCCCATTTGTCATGTGTGTTATGATAGTTAAAGGATTGTTTTTCATTTGAACGTCAGTGTAAGGCAAGAACTATCCTTTTTCTTGCTCACCACAATGTCAGTATAGTGCTTTGTGTCATACTTAACAGACAAGTGATTATTGTTAAATGAAATACATGAGCCTTAAATTAGTAGGATTTCTTCAGATGGAAGTGGTAGGGGCAGGCAGGCTCTAGAGTATTCCAGGAAAAAGGGAGGGCTAACCTCATAGAGACAGGGAAGGAAGAAATAATATCTTTGCTGATTATTTTCCATTCACGTGATAGTTTAAAAAGTAAATTACCCATCTTTATATATACTTATACAGAGTTATTATATAATTAGCTAACTTTTAATATCTGCCCAAAAGAAAACACAAACTAAGTTTCATAATTTCTATAAAGTTTCCTCCTTTATTGTTTGGGAATGCTTTGTTTAAAAAAAGATAAAATGATTCTCATACTGCTGTAAAACAAACGTGTTAAGCTTTAATTTAATTAATTAACTGAAGGAACTCTAGTTAAAGAAGTCAGAGAAGCCCAAATTTATATGAAGTAGAGAAATGTTGAAATGAATTTAATAAGAGATGGAAATTTTCCATGGAAGAAGGGCAATCAATTAAACCAGACAAAATATATAATAGTTCAGTGACAGTGAAAGCCTAGAATCTCATAACTTGAGAGGACGTTCTCTAGACAGTGCATAGTTTTCCACTGAAGTTTAGATTTTTTCCTGCAGTGTACCCCCTTTCGATCAAAAACAATCTGAAGGAAAGATTGTGCTTGACCACAAAATAAAGCTGGTCTCATTAGACTTTGCCTGATTATTTGCACACGTGAAGTAGCAAGTGTTAATTTAGCATGTAGATCTTCTTTAGTTGTTTTTATAAATGACATTTTCATAAGTAATATTAGATTGGACTTTTGAAGGCCTCTATTATTTGCTAAGTCAAGGGCAGGAAGCCATGCCCAGAGAAACTCCCTCCACATGATTTATTGTTAATCTTTATTCTCAGTGGAAACGGAATCTCATTATTTCAAAAATCATTTTCTTATGAGAATGGATATTTTATACCATTTCAATTTGAATTGGATGCAAAGAATAAAATACCAGAATTAGCAGAAATGTAGTTAGTGTGGATTGATGTTTGTTTTATTTTCAGATTGAGAATATCAGAAGGAAGCACAATTATCTGCCTTTCATTATGGAATTGTTAAAGACCTTAGCAGAACACCAGCAGTTAATACCACTAGTAGAAAAGGTAAGTATTTTATTGGTAGATACTTAAATTAGGTTTAGATACTCCAAAAACATAAAATGTTCTTTTTTTTTTTTTTTTTTAATGAGTAGAGGTAAAATTTTTGGAAGCTTTTAAAATTTTTATTCTTTTGCTTTTGCCTCTTGTTTTATATTCTGTAAGAATTAGTTCAGCTGAAACTGTAAAATGAAAAATAAAGAATTACCCCACTACTTTAGCCTTCCAGATTCTTAGTGACAAGACCTCAGGTTATGCTGTATTAATTTAAATTTAAAACACTATTCTTTTTTTAAGCAAAAACAGATTTTTAATGCTCATAACTGAAATAATATTTTCCTAGTTTAGCAAAAATTTGAGTTGATGTAACAGAATTTAGAAGTAGAATGGACATTGTTGGGTTTTTTAAAAAAATACCTTGTATTAGGAAATAGGTTTTCTTATTTCTAGTCTAGTACCCTTTCCACTGAGGGAAAACTAGTGTTAAGTTAGTGGAAAATTCTGATTTCTATGATTTTTTTCATAATATGAGTAACAATAAAATATTTGTTGAGTAAATGAAATGCAGTTAAATTGTTTTTAAGTTCATACTGTAAATCAGTGTTTCTGAAAGTGAACATCAGTGGATATTCTTTAAAATACATGTTACCTGGCCCCTCCCCAGATATTCTGATATAGGGGAAGGATTCTTTAATAAGTTCCCCAAGTGATTCTAATGCAACTGGTCTGTGTACCACATTTTGAGAAACACTTTGAGAAGACACTACTAGGCAAATAAAATTTTGGACCATTAACTTACAGACAAGAATACATGGTAGGTATATTTTTCTTATTAATTTTAAAATTGACAAAGCAAAGATACATTTCAAGCAAGGTGTTTTATGTTATAAATTCTAAATAATATGAGATGTGAGCTAATAAGTTTTTTGTGCATATACCTTGTTGATTGAAACATGTGACCCAGGTTTTAGCATTAAATGTAAAGGTTATTGCAGAAGACTGCTAAACGTCTTTTCCACTATAGGTTTTTCTATTCATGTATCTCAGGGTGTATTCCAAGATCGAAAATCATTATTAAAGTTTTAGATTAATACAGGATTCTGTGGTTCGCAAAATTGCTTGGTTAACAAGAATACCTAGATATGATGTTCTTAACACTATCAAATATTTCTCTATTATAAATATTAACTATGTAATGTGCTAAATTGTATGATACATCAGCTACTAAGTTAGATAAATGTTATTAGGGACCCTTAGACAAATTTTAAATGTATAAATTTTGCATTAAAATTGGTCTGTGAACATAATTTTTCGTGTGCAAATTAGTAAGTAGAAGGACCACTGTTATTTGATTTTTTTTTTTTAATTTTGAGACGGAGTTTCACTCTTGTTACCCAGGCTGGAGTGCAATGGCGCGATCTCGGCTCACCGCAACCTCCGCCTCCTGGGTTCAGGCAATTCTCCTGCCTCAGCCTCCTGAGTAGCTGGGATTACAGGCACGCACCACCATGCCCAGCTAATGTTTTTTTGTATTTTTAGTAGAGACAGGGTTTCACCATGTTGACCAGGATGGTCTCGATCTCTCGACCCCGTGATCCACCTGCCTCGGCCTCCCAAAGTGCTGGGATTACAGGCTTGAGCCACCGCGCCCGGCCTGTTATTTGATTTTTAATTATACTATATCCCCAGGTTTTTTTGAGGGCATGAACAACAGCTTATCAGCTTAACATTAGAACCGTTATTCCTTACTTCACATTATTTTGGACACAAGGTGGCAGTAAATGAATTCCTGATGTTAGTGGAACACCAACTCTTGTTGTGTTTGCCTTCGTTTTCTTAAGGAAAGTAGTTATTGATTTTCTAAGTTGGTTATTTCTCTAAGCTGTTCGTTTATTAATATTCCGGAAGCAATATTGAGATAGATTTATTTCTTGTATGCATGCAATAAGTGTTATTCTCTAAGGTACTGAAGGCATTCACACTCATTTAGTTGGAATTGTTGAAATGTTTTTAATTACTCATCAAACATTTAGCTGCAAGGATATTCGAGGCACTCTGTTAAGGTCTAGGGATGTATACATAACTGAGGCGTATTATTTTCTCTTAAGCAACTCATGATTTGGGAAAGGAATGAATAAACAATTATGATACTGTGCTAAATAGTATTATTTTGGTAGGTGCCAAGAGCACTTATCAAAGTCAGGCTAAAGATTCCCAGCAAGCACAGGGTAGCTCCTAAATAGCTTTATAGCCACTTAAAATTTCACAGTCATAAAATTTTAAATATGTGGTTGGAATTAAATGCTTAATCTGTGGTAATATATTAGCTTCCTTTGCAAAATATATTTTTGTTCATCTTATTTTGGAAAAAAATGATATGATGCCATATTAAAATATCATTTTCTGCAGATAAATGCAAACTTTATAAAGCATGTTGAAAAACCGTTAGAATAGATTGATTAGATTTTATCATTGTATAAAATCTTTACCAGTGATAGTTAATTACTTAATAGTAATACTTCTAAGAAAAATTACCTATAGAATTCAGAAATAGATAAGTTGGAATGGTAGATTCTTATTATGTTTTGTTTTCAGGGAAACAAAAGGACAGGTGTGAGAAGGGATAGAAGGAAAAAACAGAAAAGATGTGGCTGCACCATGCAGTGGTGCTACTATATGCTGAGGCTCTCCAGGATCAGACTTTCGAGTAGCTGCAGCAGTTGCCTACAATCTGTAATGGCATAAAAGTATTTCAGCTAAAATCTTTGTATTTGAAAAATGACAAATAAAGGGTTATTCTCCCTTGGGCATATGGCTATAATGAACTTGGTTAGGACTAATAAATATTTTTGTTATATGAGAATATTTATATTTTTTAACTGATGAATTCATTGAATATACATTACATTAAAAAACTGCTTAGGAGGTAATCTAAAAATATATGGTTATAAAACTTCTTGTATTATGTACTAAATTTCTTTCTTAAAATATAAAATTATCTAGTTTAAGATACATTTGTGAGACTTCTATTTATTCAGGTATATTTATGATAAAAAAATTTTTTCTCCACATTTGTATGTAATTTTGAATCATTGTCTATCATAAGTTTTTAACTATCAATAATCTACCATGATGTAAAATCATATATTCCATTGTTATTGGAGAATTCAAAGCAACTTCACAATATTGAATTTTGTCTACATTTTACTGTGACTTTATGATTCAGTTGGTAATAAGTAAGCTTCAGATTTTTTTCTATTTATTAATAGCAGTAAGGTAGAAGAATAACTACAGCGTATCACAACAATAAGTACATTAATATCTATTAATACAGAGTTATCTGATTTGAGTCAGTACTTTTTAATGTCTCATTGGTACACTATATAGAAGGAAAGTATTTTTAACAGTATGTATTTTTTCCATGCTATATATAAATATGATAGTTTTTTTAAAACCTTTTTTTAACAAAAGCAGAACAAAATAGAGGCTTTGAATTTAAATCTTATATATGTTACTTATTAGCTGATGCTTTTAGGCACTTATATAGTTGCTTATAATCTCTTTCTAATCTGTAAACTGGGAAAAAAAAAATCATACCTACTTCACATTCTTGATAATTAAATGAGATCTTATCTGTAAAGTATATAAATTGGTTTTCAATTAATGGTGATAATTATTTTCAATTTTAATGTATGGACACTCTTCCTTGTGTTTGCTCATTTAATTATGTTGTAAAGTTTATATAAAAAAACTAGTAAATTCATTTCTTGTTAATCCTACTAAACATTTTGTTAAGTATACTCAGAGATCAATAAGGAAAGAAGCACATACTTTATTTTAAATTATACCTAAAACCTAATTGAATTTTTATTTTTTGAGGAAAGAAAACTTTGTATGAGATACAATGCACATATCAAATTACAAATAATGCTGGTTAACTGAAGACGTTCATGTTGGCATTTAATTTTATTATTTTTAATATGGCACGCAGACCATTTGCTCTTATTCTAAGGCACAGCACTCAGTTTTATTATACTATTAAAAAATAATTATTCTACCTAATACATTACAAAAAGAGATTGTAATTGTTCTAATTGCTCTATTTTTTATTTAAGGAAGTTTAAGAAAAAGTTGTGTAATGTAGAAGTCTGAAGTGGCACAGTGGCAAGCATATTGTATTGTAGTACTCTAAAACCTTGCTTTTAGAAATGTCTTCTGAACACCAGCAGAAGTGGCATCATCTGAGAGTTTGCTAGAAATACAGAACCTCAGGCATTTTACTAAATCAGTCGGCATTTTAACAGGGTCCCTAGGTCATTGGTATGTACATTGAGAAGCAATATTATAAAGCATGTGTCTTTGACCTGTATTGAGGATTTACTATATACTAGTTGTGGGACTTTGGTCAAGCTTGATAATATCTATAACCTGTGGCTTCTTTATGTGCTAAAGAATAAAACAGAATTACTGTGTTCAAGCTATGTAATTGTAATGAAGATCTGTTGCACTAGTGTGTGAAAACTTTTTTTAGGTCATAAAAAGTTCATTGACACCAGGAATACATAATTCTTCAGTGACATTATGTTAAATTCACTTAAGTTGTGAAGTTAAACTCATTTATTCACATATACAGAAACTAATGTAAGGTTTTTCTTATACTCATGTGAATAGGAAGTGGGCAAATATGTGTATACATATCATTTTGGAATATTCATGAATGAGTTTGACTTTATGGAATGAGTAATTATGTATTTTTAAATTATTGCAATTATAATAATTTATTTCACCTTCAGATAGGAAAGAACTACAAACCAAATGTGATCCTTTCTTAGGGCAAAGAATACTATATAATTGTCCAGGAAAAGTTTGTTATAAGTCTCAAGTTATGAAATATAATGCTTTAGAAGTCTTATAAACAATTTATTTCAAGCCTTTCAACTTGAGAATACCCTCTTAGGCACATTTTATTTTAACATAGTCTAAAACTGACTTGTAAAATTTTATAATGTACTATTTTTATTTTTAGGCAAAAGAAAAACAGAATGCAAAGAAAGCTCAGGAAACCAAATGAAGAGGATGTTTTGGGATATGTACACATTTCTGCTCCTGCACTTATTTTCATGGAAATCATTATGTATAAAGAACTTTGAGCAACAACCTAATTGGCTCAGTGCACGTTTGGTAATAGTGCCTGTCTGTCTTGTCTTTAATGCATGAATTCATAAACTTCTTCCCTACCTGCATCATGTGCATGTAGTGCATACTAAATGAAAGTGATGTTAAGAGTGCTTGCCCAAATTCCATTATTTGACATTGAATCTGAGAACTGTTTGTTTTCTGGATGTATAACTACCTTAATGAAGCTAGAAAATGCACAAATGATAATCCTTATCTGTAATTTAAATACTTAAAATTTGTAATTGTCAGATCTTGATTAAACTGGATCTCTTATTTCTTCTCATCATTAATGGAAAAAAAATCAGTATTTCTATCTTTGATATCTAAGTGTTTTGAGGATTTTAAAACTGAATTTTATCTGCTATACCAGTTATTTGAAAAAGTATGATTTTAATGTAAATCATTTAAAAAGGACAAAGTATAATTTCCAGTGATTTTTCATTGCTGTCAGTAGAAAAGTAATAAACATCTCAATTTTATTTTAGTAAAATTTCTTCAAGTGTTTGGGGTTATTTGTTTATGTATTAGAGAATTGTTTCAGGAAGATCTGAGTATTACGCTTAAAAGCAGAATTTCAGGTTAAGAAGAAATTGTAAATCTTAAAGAGTGTTACTGTTACTCTCAGTGGAGTATTTTTTCAAGCTGTTAAGCTGTGTATAAAAATTTGGAGGTTTGACAGTTCATGCTATCTGCTTTTTTAAAAAGGTGGTAGTGGTGATGGGGCATCTTTCTATGCCAGTTTGAATAAGTTCGGACAGGCTGCAGTTTCCAAGAGCCATATACAATTTGCTCACAATTGATTTTTTAAAATTGTTTTTGGGAGTTGCTTTGTATAATATTCTTGCTTCTAATCTTCCTTTCCAAGTCAGACTTTAAAGAAAACTTTATAAAACTTATTTTAAAGGAAGTAATCTACTTTTTTCTTTATCAAGAATATTTCTGAGGTTGATACATGACTTTTTACCATTTTATTATTTATTGTAAAATAAACTTAACATAACTTATTTGTTAGGGAGAAATGTATACCCATCTTCCAATTTCAACACATGAATTTTTAAGGATTATTTTTAAGCTTAGTAATTGTGGTATTAAATAACAGAATTAATGGAGAAAAACTTGATGGGAAATTGATAGAAAAATTAATGAAATATTTTTTGTACGTAATTTCAGTTGGAGGTAATGAAAAATATGTAGTTTCTCAGTTGTTTATGGGTAAATATGTTTTGCTCTTGAAACAGTAATTATGGAGTGTTTTCAAAGCCATGATATAATGTTAAAAAATGGATTTTTAAGGAAGGCTCATCTTAATCCCATTCATGTATTTCAGCTTAATTTATATATCCTTTCCTAGTGAGGCTTAAATTTTGTAAAGCAGTGTGAGGATTATTGTGGTAAGTTGTATTTAGTAATCAGTATGGTGTGATACTAGCACTAGGAGTGACAAATAAATCAATGGAATAGAAGAGAGAGCCTGAAAACAGATTAACATGTATATGATCACTTGATTTTGACAAAGGTGGCAAAACAACTTAACAGGGAAGGAAAGTCTTTTCAACAAAAGGAGCCAGAATAGAATAGCTGAATATCCACATAAAAAAAAATGAACAGTGACCCCCTCCCTCACAAAAATGACTTTGGGATGAATCATAGACCTAATGTATTGTTTTAAAAGTATGAAGCTTTGTAACTGAAAACATATGTGATTATTTTTATGACTTGGGGGATTAGCCAAAGGTTTCTTAGGTCCCAGAAAGCAGTAACCATAAAAGATCCAAAATTAGAGCTCATCAAAATTGTCATTGAAAATTTTAATAAAAGTAGTATCAAATGACATTTGAAAAATAGTTTTGTGAAACTATATTAATAGGTATAAAGATTTTTTCTTAGTAATCTAATAAAATTTCTTAATAGGAATTTCCATAGCTTAAGAATCGTGTATTTTATCTGCATCTTCTTTGATAATTGCAAATGCCTTGTGCTACTTCATGATTATTCTGTCTGTGAATAAAAAAGTATGACTTGTCTTTGTCTGGGTGCTATATATTGCTGGTTTGAAACTAAGTCAGGAAGCTAGTGGGTAGAGAAAATGGAAGAATAAAGAGCAACCCAGGAATAGATGAATCTTATGTCGAAACTTTTGTTAGTGAATATTTTATAGAAAGTCTTGCTCTTTCTTTTCTAAAATTTTATTTAATTATTGGGTAGGTGAAGGCACTTCCATTCTATTTCATGCCTTTCAAAACAGCCAATTCTAAGGGATGTACTTCTGCTGTTGTCAACAGAAAGCTTGGCAGCAGCTGTGACATTGGCTGCTCTCACCTTAGATGTTTGGTTCCCAAGATAGCTGCCCTTTCTCCAGCAGCAGGCACCTGGACTGTGCCACTAGGATAGACAAACATTTGCTCGGGAATCACAGCCATGGGGACTTGCTCCCCTAGCTTGGGCCGTGGTACGTATTTTTGTTTATATTATGGGTGTTCCATGCAGATTAATACTTTCAGTTAATCCTCCTAGTTGCCTATAACATTAACATTTCGAGATATTTTTCGATTTTTTTTTTCCTGTAGGAGGCTTTGTTTCTTTTATTTTACAAAAAAGGCTTTTAATGTATTCTCAAAAAAACATTTAGAGAAACCATAAGCAAAAATAAAATTTAAATTACCTAGTTCTACCAACAGGAATGAGCACATTAACATTTTGGTGTCTTTAGTGATCTTTTTTCCTCATACGTACACATATGTTTTTCTGCGTTAGTCTTGCTTGCCCTCCCCATAGTCTGAAATCATTTTATGTAGTTTATATCATTTTTAAACTTGATATACAAGTTTTCAGGAAACAAACTACTCTAGCTATTTGAAGAGGAATGCAGACTTATATTGGGAATTTTGAAACTACCTGGTTTCTTACAAAATCATTGGAAGGTTTAGAGGAGTGGTTTTAAGTTCGAGTCTCCAGAAATGGCTCCCATGCCAACATACAGTATTGGCGTACCTAGGGAACTGCTCCCCTTTGCAACTGTCAAGGAGTCCACTGCTGGAACTATTGATATTAGAACATGTTGCAGTAGTTGTGTTCCAGGAATGAGGAGCCTGCAGTAACACCCAGTGGCTGTGCCCTGGAATGCAGACAAGATAAACCTTCTATGTCTAAATGCCTAAAATAGGCAAACTGGATAGTTGTATTTTTAGAGTGACGTTTCATTTTTTAGAGTAGTGTGAATTCCTAGATCAGTCAAAAATGCATGTTATTTAGTTTGTACTTTAGTACATTGTTAACTGGCCTAAATCCAATGACTGACAGGGTAAAGATTCATTTTTAGCATACTGGACACTTTTTGTTTTTGACTTGATTACATTAACCTTTTGAAAACTATTCAGTGATTTATTCAACCTACATCTGTGTTGTTCCAGATGCTAGAGGATAGCATAACAGGATAAAGCCTCTGTTCTCATGATGAAACAGATAAGTATATAATATAACTTTTCAAATACTAGTATGAATGGTAAAGTAGGGAAAAGGGGTGGGAGGAGCTGAGGTTTGATAAGATGGTCATGGAAGATCCCATTAATGAGATGAGCTTCAGGGAAAGACCTAAATGAAGACAATTTTTTCTCTAGTACTGAACTAGCACTGTGCAAGTGGATTGCCAATAGGCAGAATCAATGTGCAATAATTCAGAATATTAATTTGCAATCATGTTTGATAGTTAATTGGTTTTTGAATATTGATATGGATTGTCAATATGAAAATAAGTTGATTGAAAGTTATATATGGAAAAGGCTAGGACTACTGGTCCATGTACATTTTAGATTGTTCTTATATTTTGTGTAATATGCTTGACCTGACCCTTTCTTGTAGCAATGATAATATAATATTGAATAAACCATAAAACCAGTGGGGAAAGTTTCATGTAGGTGTATTTTTAAAAAACATTTTGATCTCTCCCCAGATCCCCATGGTAACTGTTAAGACTAAAACAGTCTGGGTGTGGTGGCTTATGCCTGAGGCAGGAGGATCTGTTAATCCCAGAAGTTCAAGCATAGAGTGAGCAAGATGGCAAGACCCTGTCTCAAAAAAAAAAAAAAAAAAAAAAATTTAGCTGGGTATGGAGGTGGTACGTGGTACGTGCCTGTAGTCCCAGCTACCCAAATAGCTGAGACTGGAAGGTGCCTTGAGCCCAGGAGTCCGAGAATGCAGTGAGCTGTGATCGGCCACTGCACTCTATCCTGGGTGAGACAGTGACACCCTATCTCAGAACAAAACAAAACAAACAAAAACAATGAAATTACTTGAAAATTTAAAAAATAATATAAATTTGGGAGAATATTTTATTATTTGGGGATAGAGAAAAGCTTCCTAAGCAGGAAATAATACACAAAAGAACTCAGAAGAGAAATACTTGACTGTATAAACATTAAACATTTCTGTAAGGTGACTGACACCATAAAACTAAGAGATAGCAAGCCAACAAATAAAACTTTGCTGTACATAATATGCAATATGTGTATTACAAACAGACAAATTAGTGTCTAATACACAGAGAGCTCCTCTGTATATTATATATTTTATGCTCATATGAGTAATATATTTATTGAGCAGTCCTGCAATAAAGCAATAAAATATGATTATGGTGTTTCCCATTGATAGATATCCTAACATTTTAGATATGTTTCATGTTATCTTCACACCAATCTTATGAGGTAAGTATTAACTTCATTTTACAAATAATATCTATATATTTTTTCCCTTTGAATCACACCGTCTGTATCCTGAGTACTCAATGGGTGATCTGCAGACCAGCAGCAATGAGCATAACCTGAGAACTTGTTAGAAATGCAGAATCTGAAGTCCTGCCCCAGACCATTGGAATCAGACTCTTCATTTTAACAAGGTGCCCAGCTGATTGAATTACATTTATGCACATTAAAATTTGACAAGTATAACCTCACTGGTTATTTTTATATTTATGGAAATACTCTCTTCATAATCAGTAGGCATTGTACTTTATTTTCTGAATTTAAAAATTTGATTTTAGGACTTCAACAATTTCAGTAGCAAGATGCGAAAGTGCAATCAGTTGGAAAAAGTTATTAGGAATAAAATGGAAAACTATTCACAGCAGGTCAAACATCATCCTAAGTACTTTTACACATTAACTCTAACCTTCACAGATATGAAATAAGTCACGATATAACCATTCTTCAGATGAGGGACACTAAAGCACAGCAAAAAACAATGGGTAAGTTAGTTGTTGTGTATTGGAATACTATGCAGTCATTAAAAAGAATATGAATGTCTTTGTATTAACACTGAAGGATGTCTGTGATTTATTTTTAAGGAAAATGAAAGTGTAAGTAACTTACCCAAGTTCATACAGCTAGTAAGTAGTAGACCTAGGATTCAAACTTGAACTTCTACTTGTACTTCTCTCTTTCACTTCTTCCCTCCCTCCCTTCCTTCATTCCTTCCTCCCCCACTCCACTTCCATCCTTCATCCTTCCCTCCTTTCTTCTTCCTTTTCTTTCTTTCTTTTTTTTTTTTTTGAGACAGAGTCTTGCTCTGTTGCCAGGCTGGAGCGCAGTGGCACAATCTCGTCTCACTGCACCCTCTGTCTCCCAAGTTCAAGTGATTCTCCTGCCTCAGCCTCCCGAGTAGCTGGGATTACTGGTGCGCACCACAATGACTGATTTTTGTATTTTCAGTAGAGACAGAGATTCACCGTATTGGCCAGGCTGGTCTGGAACTCGTGGCCTCAAGTGATCTGCCCACCATGGCCTCCCAAAGTGGTGAGATTACAGGCGTCAGCCATGGCACCCGGCCCTCCTTTCTTTTTTATAGTAATTTCTCGTAATACCTGCACACCTCCTTTATATACTTCTACCATTATTCTTAGAAAAATGATTCTTAGAGGTAAAAGCTTTATTATGGACAGAATTGTACAATGGAGATGTTTATGTGAGAAAACTCTCTCTGGATTTATTAGAAGCTTTGTAGGAGATATTGATGACCTTTGCTGAATTATTAAGGAATGCATAGAGTAAGTGGTAACTATGAGCTCTGAGCTCCAGTGGCTCCCTGAGGGCTAGTAATTATAACGATTTTGATTAGAGGCTAACAAGGGTTCCAGGTTGGGCCTCCCAGGCTGTGTCTCCAAGTGAGGTTACCAAGGTCCAAGAGCTGCCCTTTCATTTTATGATTTGAGTACACTCATGGAAGGTGATAAGGACTTTGGGTAGTTAAGCCAACTTAATAAAGCTTGCAGGAGACTAATGTACACCTGAAAAACAATTTAATAATTTATTTTACAATTATAACTGCCAGCAGACCAGACATTTCTATCAGCCTATAGATACATTCTGTCCATGGTAGATAAACTTACAAAGGAAACCAAATGAAGACCAGAAGGGTGGTTGACTATAGAACTGTTTTAAAGGAAATTATTGTGTAGAGATACTTGCTACAATAGCCTGTGACATGGTTTTCCATGTTAGACACCAACGAAATCTGCCTGGTAGATTACACACCTTCTTGATCAAAATGTTACTTCATGCTTCTGCTGCTAGAGACACAATGACAAAATTTTAAACTTCGTAATTATCACTTTTCTGGTTGACAATTCTCTGCTTCCTTTCTCATGCCAATAAGTGTTTTCAAATGTAATTTCAGTTTAAATTTATTTGATTTTAATTTTTTTCCAATCTGGCCTTTCAGGGACATCTGGAGAGACTGCTTAACCTAATTTTTCAGACTGTAGATAGGGGACTATTTCCTGTAACCTATGTAATGTCAGTGTATGAGGAATCGGTATTTCTATTCTAATAATGTCAATATGACCTTTCCTAATATCTTATACCTGAAATAGTCTATACCTGTCTTACACGTTTGGAATGCTCTGTACCCTTGGCACATGGGAACAGTTTTTCTCTTAGGGCACTCCATTGTTATTGGAATGGCTCCATTGCTTATACAGTGAACACCTTGGATGATGCAGTCACTCCTTCAGATTTCAGGCAGAAATTTACTTGAATTAATGTTTGTAATCTGAAACAATGGTGTGCTAATATAAGTACCCTCATTACATGTTCCATGAGTAACTTGCTTATTCTAGCCTCTATGGCCATTCTAAGAACTGTACGTTCTTGCCCATTTTATCAAGGTTGGTAAATACAACTTCACAGATAAGACAGTGCACTTTGTGTATACTCTTTTATTATAAAATAGTAACCCCATATTCTAGTAAGCTGGAGAACAGACAACTGGACTTGGACTTAGATGACCTGGGATAGTAGTCCTGCTATTCTATTAACTATCATGTGGTCTTGGCTTATGTTCTGTTATCTGCTGAAATGCACTTTGTCCTTTCCTTTGTTATAATTTTCAAATAGTGCTTATAGAGCAAACAGGTGGCTTTCACATCTGTTTATACAACTAAACCTTAAAACAAATATTAGTCTATTAAAGCTTCATTGTGTTAGACTTTTTCTGTTGTCTTTTCTGGACCTCTCTTTTTCTCTTGTGATTGAGTCTAAACTTAAGAAATTAGGCTTATAAAACTTTTTAAAAAAAAATTTGAAGTTTAGGAAAAGTTTGGTCATATTTCCTTAGATATTTTGGTAACACTTTGGGAATGTATTTTCCCTCCGATAACAACTTCATAAGCTCATAAATGTAATTTATACTATTGTCTTGGATGCAGCCCATTTTGCTAATTTTAACCTCCAAGGTGATATAGAGTATAAGCTAGTGTAAACAATATTTATTCTGACCAAGCATCTACAATTTGTTATCTAGTCATCTGTACACAAAATCTTTATAGCTTCTTTCCAAATGTATTCACAAACAGGAAAATCAGCTCTTTTCTGGATATGTCTTTAAATAAATGTAGACAATTCTAGAGCCTAGTGATAGGATTATCATTTTAAAGTTTTGAATGACATATTTTAGCATTGGTAAATATCAGGGGAGAAGAACTATTGTAAATACCATGTGAGTCCTTTTATTATAATAGAAGAGGCAAGCAGCATGTGCTTACTTCAAGTCCCTCGGTCATATTTTGGTAATCCTTTTAATATTTCAAACTTTTTCCCAACTATATCGGTTATGGAGATCAGTGATCAGTGATCTTTGATATTACTGTTGCAATTTTATTATAATAGAAGAGGCAAGCAGCATGTGCTTACTTCAAGTCCCTCGGTCATATTTTGGTAATCCTTTTAATATTTCAAACTTTTTCCCAACTATATCGGTTATGGAGATCAGTGATCAGTGATCTTTGGTATTACTGTTGCAATTGTTTTTGGGTGCATGAACCATGCCCACGTAAGACAGCAAACTTGATTAATGTTGTGTGTGTTCTGACTGCTCCACTGATGGGTCTCTCTCCCTCTTGTTGGATCTTCCTATTCCCTAAGACACAACAATATTGAAATTAGGCTAATCAATAACCATTGTACAATGGCCTCTGGTGTTCAAATGAAAGGAAGAATCACATCTCACTTAAACCAAAAGCAGAAATGATTAAGCTTAGGAAGGCACGTCAAAAGCCAAGATAGGCTGAAAGCTAGGCCTCTTGTGCCAGACAGCCAAGTTTTGAATGCAAAGGCAAAGATCGTCAAATTAGAAGTACTACTACAATGGATGCATGAATGATAAGAAAATGAAGCAGACTATTGCTGATGTGAAGAAAATGTGAGTGGCCTGGATAGAAGATCAAGCCAGCTACAACATTTTTTTAAACTTTTATTTTAGGTTCAGGGGTACATGTGAAAGTTTGTTAC